CGATGCCCCGGAGGGGCCGGAGCAGCAGGACCCCCGGGGAGCCGCTGGCCACAGCACCGCTCTGCCGGCGCCCTCCGCTCACCCGTTTCTTTTCCAGCAAGATGGGGAAAGGCAGCTACAGCGGTTCGGCCAGGGCTTGTTTTAAGGCTGGGAGAGGGATGAGGGGGGGTTAAGTTTTGTTTTGTCCAACACACGCTCAGGCCTTTTTAAAAAAATTTGGTTTTTATCGAGCCACAAAATTTGTTTTAGTGTACTTTTCTAGTGAAAATCATTAGGAATGCGTTTTTGGCCTTCAGGTTGTCTGAATCTCGCCCCAAACTGAACCCTCAGGTTGGGTTAAGCCGGGGAGCGCGGGGGTGCGGGAAGGACGCGGAAGCGGCTGCAGGAGGACTCACCTTTCAGGCCACACAGCCCGCACAGGGCAGCAAACGCCGTGGACTCCATTTCAATGTTCCTCACACCGGCGTCATAAGCTCTTTTCAAGTACTCTAACTTTTTTTCACTGGAAAAAGAGCACAATGCTCCGTCTAATCTCCCCTGACCTTGAAAGGAAGCAGAGAAGTGTCACTGCTGGCCCTGCGTGGGTTTACAGTCATGGTGAACGGGGTGTCATTTCAAATGGAAAGTCCAGCAGTGCCTACGGTTTGTCTGAAGCTGACTAAGTTTTCCTTTGAATAGTTACTTTAATCATATTAACCTCAGAGTTTAAAGCCAGTGCGCTATGTCTCTGTATAGAGAAGAAAATTACACAGGTTTTAACACTTGTAAAAAGGACGAGTAAGCCCGCAGGTGTTAAGTACAGGGTGTATATTGCACTCTGCAGGGGCAAGTCATCGCAGCTTCTCTGAGGTCCATGGTGTGCGTCAGCTGCGAAGGTCTGCCAGGTTAAATCCAAAAAATGCCAAGTTACTGTGGAAGAGGGGCATAGCAAGCTGTGCAGAACGGCAAAACTGGGGAGAGGAAAGCCCCCTTAATTTTAGGTTTAATTTTTCTTAAGTGGCTGCCATAGATGGCAGGCAGCTGGAGCTGGAGCCGCTCGTGAGTGGCGTTCCCTGCTCGGGCGGCTTTGGTGCTGGCCGGGGAGCTGGGTCCCAGGGCACTGGCACTGGTGCTGGTGCTCCCTCCTGCGCCCGCCGCAGCCCCGGGCCATCGCCGCAGCAGGACCCGACGCTGTGCCGCGTTCAGGTGTGGGCACCCATCCTGACCCTCTCCTCTAACTGCACTGGTGGCTTTGGCTGTCCTGCAGAGCGGACCCGTGCCCAGTGCAGCTACTCCTCTCGCACAGTATGTAAAGTCCTTTGTGCAAGCAAAATGTATACCTGTGGCTGTGCTCACCTGGGCAGAGTGCTTCCTTTTATTGCTGTTCCTACTGTTAATCCTCTCAAATGGCTTTTTGTTTAAATAAAACATGGTCTTGAGCAATACACAGATGGTCACATTTGCAAGCAGATCCAAAGGTTTATAAATAGTCCTCAGACTATTAATTTTTCATTTATTACATTTCATCTACTCTGCAATCAGCATGTAACTTTGCAAAGGAAACGGTTCCAGAGTAACCAAAGTTTGTTTACGTAAATGTCACATGCTTCCTGACAGTTTTCTAGTGTTTGGTAGTTCTGAAGTTACAATCTTCTTGTAGGAAACAACTCAGCATAACCCATCTGCTAGGCTTGCTACAGAATTGTGGATGAGGGTCTGTTTTCTTTGCCAGGGTGAGGCTAGTGGCCTCCTGCTTTTGGAGGGTCTGCGACCGTGCGTGGCTCCCATGTAATGGCTGGACTGGGGGGCAGCCGAGGTCCCCCCCAGGCACCTGCATTGTCCCCGCGAGCAACCGCTGCTGGGTGGATTTCGCTCTTGATCCGCCACCAGCTACAGCAGCGCTGGTCTTGCAGGTGACATTACCAAATTTAGCTGTCAGATGCACGAGAGACCAATTAGCAGAGTAGGCCTCACCCTGGCAAAGTGCTGAAATTGGTACTGGTGTTCTGAAGGTGTACCCTGCTCTGACCGCTGAACGAGCTCTAACGTATCAGGTGGGGCAGCTCCTGCAGTCCTTCTTAGGCTTTAGTAGCACGGATAATTTTGCCTACATAAGAACGTAGAGACTTGGCATTATGTTTGGAGGGAGGAAGGACAGTCAAAGATTATTTTACCTTCATAGAAGTCGTAGGTGCACATAGTATGGCCGATGAGCGTGGGAAAGTCAGGAATCTCCTTGCTGCAGGCGAGTAGTTCCTCCGCGAGGTCCTTGTCCAGCTCAGTGCTCCGCACCACCACATCATCCAGCACCACCTGCTCAAACTGTGGCTTGAAGGAGGAGTCCACTGCTGTGTCCGTGATCACAACAGACCCGGCCTCGATCCCTGTGAAAACGAAGGCTGAGGCTAAGCCAGAGCTCATGACACTTGGGACCTGCTGCAAAACTTCAGCATGACAGAAAAATCTCTATAGACATAGGTGTGACTGTGGGGTTATTCTTTCTAGTGAGTAAAACAGGTGTGAGAGAATAATTGAAATTCATGCAGCAGCACAGATGTAGAAGGAAAATGTACAGAATCAGCACATGATGAGTGATTGTGGGAACGTGCCGAGTGACAGCATTTTAACTGCTTCTGGCTTGCAGAGATCATGCCCCACCACTGGCTTGTGCGGGTGTGAGCAGCACCACTGCCCCAGCCGGGGGTCCCACCAGTGTGGAGGACTACAGGCACCAGGACAGCCGGGAAGATCTCAAAGCATGAGAGTGACTTCCAGTCAAGTGTTTTCTGTTTGAAAAGTGATACCTAATTGTTGTGAATTCAAGGCCTTTGTTCATTATGAAAATGTGCACTCTGCTAAGCCAGTCACTAGAAGTTTGCGGGGTTTTAACCCAAAACAAAATATCATGTTGTTTGATATTTGGAGACCTGACAAAATCCCAAAGCTCATAATAACATGACTTACTGCTGAGAATATTTTTTATTAATACCCTCTTTGCCCAGAAGAAAGACCATGGATAGCTTACCTAAGCCTCCAGAAGTACCGATGCGTATAATAGTAACGTCTCGGCATTTTGCATGGTGCAGCAGTTTGATTAGTTCATGAAGCATGATGGAAATGGAAGGGATGCCCATCCCGTGCTGTTGGGAGGAGAAAAAATAAAAACATCGTTCCCCGTAACGCTGTGACAGGTGACAGGTACGTGACTGCAAGGAGCCCAGGGTTATGCTGTGGCCTCTTTCCACTGATGAAGCCAACAGCGATTTTTTTGAGGGGGGAGAGACATCTCAGGGTCTATGTAGCCTGTCCAGGTAAAGCATCTAACCCTCTTCTCCCCTTGATGCTTTTAGGGCTGCTCTTATCAATAGAGCTGACATTCATCCCTGGGGACTGGTACGTCAGGGACACAGATGACATCTCTCCTTCAAGAAAAGTCTCTCCACGAACGCATCCCGATGGCTGAATGCTCCAAGACCTTCCCCTTGTGTTGCCCGTCCTTACGCCACGTGCTGACTTCCATTCTTTGTCGTGTCCTGCTCGTACTCTTGGAGTTGTGAATTTCAGTGAGGACAACCCGAGCCTCTGCTTCTCCGGTCGCCTCCCAGCCCGTCCTCGCCCCACGCCAGAGCACTTCTGCCCGCGTTGCTGGGCGCAAAGCACGACGGATGGGTTTGTGCCCCTCGGTGAGGACCGCTTTCGGAGTCAGGCGTTTGCTGCATGAAGCCTCGTGCCTTGCAGATCACCTGTCCTGCTTCCTGGCTCGCATCACCCACCCTGGTGTCCCTCTGTCCCCACCGCCTGCCTGGCTGCCTGCAGGCTCTCCCCTCCGCTGGCACCCCCTCCTCTGCCCCGTCTCCGCTGCCGCGCCTCTGGGCTGGCAAATGTTTTGCAAATGTTGAGCTGTTGAGGCTGCCTCTGCTTTCTGCCCAGCACTCCCTCACGTGATCATCTTAGTTTTCTGCTCCATCGCTCAACCACCGTCCTTTTCTCAGCTTTACTTTTAAAAACAAAAGGTGTTTGGTGGTGTGGGATTTGTTTTTTTCCTCATGAAAAATGCCCCATGTTTTTTTGTTTTTGCTATCGTGTTCAAAAACCTGAAGGAAGCATATGGAAAGAAGCATAACTAATTTAACATATGCAGTTTTCGTATTGCTTTGTCTCTTTTCATTTGGCTGTGAGACTGATGGTCTATTAGGTTTGTATCATGTTTTAAATATGAAAACATTTTGCATGTTGTTATTCTGGAACATCAGCCTGACTTATTTGCCAATGCCTAAAAAATTTATTCTCATTGTAAATATTCAAAGCAGGAAACTCTGTTCCTGCCTCCGGTATGTTTGAGTTCATTTGTGTTTCTAAGCAACTTGCAAAAATGTGATGTTGGCAGCTGCTCTGCATGAAGTGTTTTGGGGGAGGCTCGCTGCATGCTCTGCCCTGTGTCTCTTTGCAGGGACGAGCCCAGGGATCGATGGCTTCTGCATTGGTGCAAAACTGGTGCATGGCCAAAAGCTCAGCGTCGGCTTTTCTTCTAGCTGTGTCACAACTGCTGCCAGATTGGGTAATAGGAAAACTTGTGGTTTTTTTTCCTCTTGGATCCTGACAGATTGATTCCCTTAGGCTTTTCCTTCAGTCAGGTTTGGTTTGGTTTTGTCAGAGGGACCAAACGTGAGCTCTGTTGTGTGAGTGATGCCGTCTCCTGTGAGTCAGATTTAAGACTAATCTTGTGCCTGAAGAAATGATGGCAGGACCGAGCCTTGGGGTGTGAGCACCCACCAGCAGAGCCTGTATTTGCTTTTTCCGCTGTGCAGTGCCAAAAGTTCTGCTGCTGTTAAAGAATAATTAATAACAAAGCAAGTTTTTTACTTTAGAGCTTATGTCAATGTAATACTTCCAGCAATATTTCATAGTTCATGCGTGGTGGGAAGTGGTCTCGGCCTCTTGAATTGCCAGACTGCTGAGCTGAGCAACATACATGCGTGTTGATTTTTAATACAATGCT